CGCCGCGGGCGCCGTACGCAGCAGCGGCGGCGGCAGCAGCAGCAGCAGCAGCGGCGGCGGCAGCAGCACACTCAGCAGCAGGGCTGCAGAGCCACAAACAAACGCACAGATGCACTTTTGCAGCCAATTATCTGAGGAAACACATTAGAAGATTTATACTCTGGCATGTTTTCACTTGGTCTGCACCAGTTTAAAGCCTCAATCATCGTTTGCATTTATCTAAAAGAAGTATCTCTTTACAATTTGTCAAAGTGGGACTAATGCAGGAAAACTGCATTAAACAGCAGTTGGAGATACCGTTAACAAACAGCTCGTCAGGCCCCGCATATCTAATTGATATAAAGAGAAGCCGACACAGCCCATCGGCATGTCTCTCCTTTCAGATGTGGGGTTATTAAAGGATCGCTGGTCGTCTCTGCAAATTTTCACAGAGACTCCAAGTAGCCTGCGTCTGTCAGATACCAACACAGACTTGCACTTTTCATTATTTTTCCAAGAAGCATAATTTTCACAGACAGGCTTTAAAAAATAAAAGTGGAGACGCAGACTTGTGAAAGAGTTCCTTTTTTCTCCTGTACATCAATCATTGTGATTACAAGACAGTAGCATCAAAAGCATATGGTCTCATTAAAATCTGCACTTCCTCATTTGTGTCAGTTTTCCCCCCTTCCTGCAGCAGCACCTGCGGCTCTTCTAATCCGCGCCATCAGAGGAAAGTGCAACAACACTGAACACATCCTTTAGGGACTGCAGTCGTGTACTGTACGGGAAGTCAAAAACAAGTGAGTCAGGAGTCCACACAGTTGTAGTCTGCTGTCGGCCCGCATGGAGAAACAAACACATTCAATCTGCGGGGCGTGGGCTGGGTGTTTACCAGGGATTACATACCTCCAAGGATGACTTCTTCACCTGATACTGACATTGTCATTATTTTGACTTCTCTACCCTGTACGTATTTACACATGACATATTATGTGATTGACTTAAGAAAAGTCAAGGTTATTCATAACTAAATCAAGGTGTTTATTACAGCGCAAACAGGTTCTTTTTAAAGCACTGAAAATGAAAGTAAATAGAGTATGTTTCTCTTTTTTAATTAAAGTTGACCTTTATGTGACCTTTTTGATACTACTATGTCTAGTTTCCTGCCTTCAAATTATGAATTACCAGACATGAGGTTTGGAGAAACAACTTGCCATCAATTATAGAATTATAAAATATTATATTGGTTCAATTTTCTGGAGAAACGTTACTAATGTTTCATCATTGCCACCTCTGCTCTGAACAGAGACAGCTCAATTCATACCTTTATTTTTACTTTCTAATGTCTTACATGCTGATTTTATGCATTCAGCTTGAAGAGTTTTACTATTATTGGTAAATAACTCTATTAAAAACAATGAACTTTATTGATCCCTTATTTGGGAAACGTCCCCAGGGGGTGTTTAGCACGAGGTTGCTCTGGGAATCAAACCCAGGACGCTGTGTTTCTATGGCAGGTGCACTAACCGCTAAACTAGGTGTTGCACTGTGTCTTTGTAACCTCCATAGTTTAAAAGAAAACACAATTTGCGTTTAATGCGTTTGCAAATTACACAACTGCATTATAACAATAAAGAAAAGTAAAGTAATTAATAAAGAATAATTCAAATTCTATCACGTTTTAAAGGTGAAAACACAACTATTCCAAACATTAAACAGGGCACACGGTGAATGTTTATCAAAGACTGATAGAAAGACCATGTACTTTGTCACACAGTGCACTGGTCAAACACACAGCTGCTAATAAAAAATACAAAAATGTAAATGTTACTGCCTTATGGCACTGCTTCAAGGACATTTTTCCAAAAGGAGAGACAAAAATCAAAGCACAAAGACAGATCCTCTCTGAGCCGATCAGTAAGAGTGCGCACTCACCCCATCTCTTGTGTGGATTTCTTTGTTGATTTGTATGTAATGGTTTTTACAGCTCATCTCACATCCTTTTCCATTTACGGATGTAAATCTAATAGGTATGACGTTAATTAAACATTGACTTTAATTAAATTTGACCTAATTATTTTCTTTGACATTGAGCTGTATATTTTGATATTTTGACATGATTTAAATGTTACTTGTCACTGTTTGTCTTGAATCAGCGTTTGTGATTTACCATTTTGACCGTTGCTTTTTAATCTTGCAGTTTATTAGACGTAGATGCGTTTGTTTTTTACTGTACAAAAGGTTTAAAAAAACAAAAAAAAAACAAATGCAAAAAAACCTACAAGTACCGTCCAGATTTAGGACCTGGGACCTGTCACCGTACTCTGACTGTGGAAAAGCAACAGGGACTGCATACAAAGTATTCAGGGTCAGACGCAGGCTGACGTCAACCGTAAACATAAACAGTGCGTAAAAAAAAAAAGGAAAAAAAAGAGCTTTAAATTTCACAAACACAACAGCAGCGTGTGGTCCAAGGAGAGAGGATGGCACGTTGTGGTCGTTAGTGGATACTACACTTGTCAAAGCATTGCGTCTCTGCACGCGGTTAATGCAAATCCATAAAACCATGCACACAAAA